TTATATATTATATATTATATATTTGTACACACACTACACAATATGTGGCCTCGACTTCGACGATGGCGGGCGGGCGTTCATACATCTCCTGAGGTCTCTACAGCCTATTGACGGGCTGCTATGCCGTACATGGCCTCACAAGCCTTCTGCAGCAGCTCCAAAACCAGCCTCATAGAATAGCTGCTGTACAGGCGCTTCGAGTGCGAGTGTGAGCTCGTGCTTCAACTCCTGACCGGAGTGCTCTGTCAAGAAACAACGCGCTGAGTCCCTTGAGCTGCCCCCGATAGAGCTTCACTCCTTCAGATCGATGTCTAGATACATCAACTCCGTTCAAGCTCCTGCACCAGTCGCAACCCCACCCCTGGACCGAGCAAGGCCCGACAAGCCAAAATCAGATTTCCCTCGCACGCCCTAAACCCTAAACCTAAACCNNACCCTCAACCTTAAACCCTTAACCCTTAACCCCCAAAAACCCACAAACCCTACCGAAGCCTCGGTGCGGAGCTGCTCTGCACGACGCCCCTCGTCACCGGTGACCGTGACGATAGCCAGGTCAGGCTCCAAAGGCTGCCATACCTCGGATACAAATTTGTCAAAAGACTTCACCGTTTGTGGCTTAGAGGTTGGGGTTTAGGGTTTAGGGTTTCGGGTTTAGGGTTTGTGGCTTAGGGTTTGGGGCTTACGGTTTACGGTTTAGTGGGTAGGGTTCGCTAGTCTTTTGCTATTCCTGCGTTGGATTATGCCTTGGCGATGCTCTTGTGCTGTAGCTGAAGGGTCGTTTGATGATTTCGCACCTGATCCAGCAAATCCTCAATGCTACATACTACCATTGCTTCACACCAGTGTAGTCAATATCCCTACTGCCATGGTCACGACGCTTGCCGTCATGCTTTCGACTAGTGTAACAATAGCTCTGAGGAAAGACTGTTCTGCAAGCTTCATTGTCACTCTAGACTCCTACCAGACTTGTCATTGTTGTGGTTGTGGTGGCTGTCCTTCTTGATGCTGCTTTTTGTTCTTGCTCCTTACCTTCAACAACAGCCAGCCGACAAGACACATGTTCCAGCCCCAGCCTCTAGAACCTCGACCTCCAGCTCGAGGACAAGGAAAACCCTAAGCACCTCAGGCTCAAGATGCCCCCAAGTGCTGAAGGGTTTTGGGGGTTCCCTACTATAATTATAGTATAATGGGCCCCAAAACCCTATTCTAATTTTTTAAGGCCCCTCTATGGGGGTTCCTTACTATAACTATAGTATAATGGGCCTCAAAACCCTATTCTAACTATTAAGGCCCCTACATTACATGGGCCGTCGGGCGGCAGCCCAGCGACCGCGCGGCGGGCCGGCACGGAGGACGTAGCGGAGGCCCGGCTCCTCGCCAGCGGCCGAGGATTCTGGGAGATGCCCGGGTTCTGCGATGAGCTTCCGGGGGCTGGGAGGGCAAAAAGGGCTCAGATTCCTGTAGAAATTTAGGTGCGAACCCAGGGACCCACAGGGCCCCTTCCAGCTTGACGAAGACCTTGGTGTAGTTGCACATCCTCCTTGGCACAGTGAAGTCGGACTCTCGCATCTGCGCTAGCTTCTTTGAGCTAGTTCCGTGGGTACCAATTTGCGGTAAAGCATCATGGAGCCAAGTGCGGCCGTCATTGGTACTGGCAGCGGTGGGTCGAAAAGTATATCAGCAGCATTGATGACACCAACACTCACCTGCACTGGTGGCTGCATTTTTTTGGTCGTGCAAGGCTGGATGCCGCCTAACGGAGAGCAAGTTTAGATGCATCCGTGAAGCTGTGCACAGCACACTTCGAGCAATTACTCGCCGCCCATCCCGGCAGCAAACCTTCGACGGAAAGCTCAGCTGAAGTCTGCATGGCAAGCATACCAATCTGACAAACCGAAACCAACCGATCCCCCGCGCCTTCACGTGGTCCGCAGATTGAACCACTCGATCCACGATCGAGTTCAGGCGAACTTCTGCGGCTCCTTTAAGGAGACTGCTGCTCTTCAGAGCATCAAGCAACAAGAGTACCGGAACAAGATCTGCCATAGTGTCACTCGCGTCGCTCTTTTTCCAGCCACTGCGACCAGCTGGTCGAAGGTTCTTCGAGCTCCTCGAGAGCCTCTGTGGATCTGCGATCTGCCGGAGCCATACTCCGGAGGACTTGAATCAGGTCTGCCGGCAAGGGAGCTGTGACAGACCGACGGGGAACGGCGCAAGGCTCACGGTCGTCGTGCGTGCCCACGGGCTCCAGAAAGTTGAGTGCAAAGCAATGGAGAAAGACCTCAGCAAGAAACTCAGCAGCTAGTTCAGTGGGGGGGGGGGGGTTGTGTGCAAAAACACAGCCTACCCGACTGGTACTCCGAGATGTCCGAGGTACTCGTTGGCAAGAGTCGTCAACAACCTCGTCGCTCGTAGCATAGAGCGAGTCCCCGACCTTCTGGCGAGAAGTGACAGCAAGACTACGATACATCGCGCCTTACGGTAAAATTATGTTCAGGCATCTCCTCCTCTCCATCTCCCACATGTTACCGGACAAGGGCTAAAACGACGAGGGTCTCCACAATAAGCCAAAGGGCAATCGGATGGCCGATGTGCGAGACGTGACTGCGAATTTGATGAGTTCGCCCAGTCCGCGGCTCTGCAAGCAGCAGTGACATCGGGCCTCCGCCTTAGACGACTGCATGTGGTGGCTTTTTTTGGGCAAGCGGAGTAGGCCGGGCCTCTGCCATGCAGATGAGCAATTGCTCGAATTCCAGTTTCGGCCGACCTGCACACAAACAAGCGCAAGCCATGCTCTTCTGAGTCCATGAGCAAACATGGAGTGCGCGTGGAGGACCTTCCGAAGTCATGGTTGACCACTGACTTGGAGCGAACGGACCGTAAAGAGTCGGAGTGCGGAATGCGCTGTAGTTGAAGGGGCATGTCAAGGCGTTGCCACTGCCGTGGCAAAAATCCGTGGACCAAAGCCAGATACCGCTTGCGAACATCCTGCGCGGAAAAGTCCAAACGTAGGCGCCAGTAGCTGTGAAATGTCTTTGCAGCAAGCAACGCACCGCTTGTCTCCAGGTCTATGCGATGGACAAGACCGTGATCCACAGAGGGATCTTGCGACACGGGCCTCTCCCAACCCAGGCGCTGCAAGAAATGAGAGATGGTTGGAGGCCTCTTGCGACCCTCTGCCAGCAGGCTTTTGCCGGAAATCGAGGTGGCACAGGACCAGCCCGGTGGCTTCGAGAGGACAACTGCAGTCTCCAAGTCTGCCAGAATGCCGGGACAAGGCAAAGGCCAGTCTCTTTCGCAAGCAGGCGCAGCAGGCGCAGCCAACTGCCGAGAGCATCCGGCGTCGGAATCACCCCTGCTGGCCGCTGCATCCATTCTCTTTCGCAGAGTCTGCAAACAGCTTTCGTCCATGACGCGCGAGTTTGCCAGCCCGGATGCCAGATCCACCAGCTCAGATGCCGAGAATGCTTGAAGCTTCTGCATGGCACTTTGCCGAAGCTGCATCACAGCCCTGTTCTTCTCGCAGCGCACACCACAGCCGTAAAGCAAGCCGCTCAGGTTTGCAATCGCCTTGGGAGCGAGCGTACTGGATCGAGCAAGAATCTCATCCTCAAGGAATGCGGCAAGCCTGTGGCGCATGTAACGAGCCCAAAAGCATCTCAAAGAAAGAGTCTCTTGCAAGCTCCTCAGTTTGCCCGGCCTTCCCGTCGGGTCTTGTCGTAGAGCATGCGCATAGCCGGACCCTGCTGCCCCAGTTCCAGGCCGAAAAGTGCACAGCCCTGTCACCACCTGCCCACCGCACGAGCATGGTTGGGATTTAGGCCCTTTAGGCGCTGGCCCCAGTATGCAACAGTGCAGTTTGGTGTACAGCACATCCGTTCCAACCTCCGCGGCCAACGAACGCAGTGAGCTCTCGGGAGTTTGCTTTGCGGCAAAGCCTTGGAGGTCTCTCTGAGCCGCTTCGCCGCTGCGCTCCGACGCACAAACTGCCTTGCCAATGTCAAGTCACAGGCGGCCACGGCTTTCGGAGAACGAGCCACATGCCGCAGCGCTGAAGATGATCCTCAAGGCTGAAAAACAGGAGGGAGAGAGAGAGAGAGCGAGCGAGAGAGAGAGAGAGAGAGAGAGAGAGACACAGAGAGAGGGAGAGCGAGAGAGAGAGAGAGAGAGAGAGA